CTACACCAGTCTCTCAATATTACTTTATATTCCCCAACAATTCTAAATTCCATTAACCAACCATTACAATCTCATGCAATGATGCAATACGCGTGACTACTACACAATTGGAACCATCTCCAATCGCACAACTGAACAAAGACAATAGTGCAGAAACACAGTGTATAAACAGCAAAAATCGAACGGGTAACTTGATAATAATCAATAAATTAGCGCACGGGTCGCACCTGGACATGAACACGGAGCAGAATGGCAGGGGTAGGTCGGAGACATAGCGTATCACATACGGATCGGCGAGAGATCCCATCCTTGATTGGGCGACCTGACATCAAATTGGATTAGGATAGACATCAACTTGCTCATCACTTGTCACTTGTATGTAAGCGGATACTGTTTAGCAATCTGTGCATACGATAGCAAATGGCAGGTGTGGAACTTCCATCTGCTTACTCTGAGTGCACATTGGATTTCAGATAGGCGATCAAACTGATCATGTGTACCTTTTCTCTTTTCCTAGCCGGTGGAAAGCAAGCAAGGGTATTTTGTAGGGAAGTTTTGGTATTTGGTTATGCTAGCTAACACTACTAAATCACAACGCTTCTGAATGAAATATGATGCCCCTCATTGATAACAACAACTAAAGGGGATTTGGACATTGCATTCAAGATTCATTCCCCATGGCCCAAGCTACCTTTGAATTCTGCTGACGCGCGGTGATCACATAGCTAGCTCTCGGAGATTCTGAGGAGCTCCTCCAGGTACTTAGCACCGAGGTCCTCTAGCTCCACAACGAAGTGTTGCTGCTCGGTTGCCGCGGCGGCGGCGGCGTTCTTGACCTTGCTCGTGCCCGACACCACGTCGTTCACTGACGCCGCCGCCACCAGAAGCTCGGATTTCTTGCGCCGCTTCCTCTTGGAGTGTCACGACTTGAGCGCCAGCACGGGCGAGCCTCCCGTGGAGGCACCAGCCGCGTGCGCCGCCGCCCAGCGCGAGCGCTCGGAGTGACTCCTGCGCGCACTCCACGGGGAAGTTGAGCGCGGCGGCAGAGCCCTAGGCGGACATGGCCGCCTAGTCATAGGCCATCGCTGCGGCCTCGGCGTTGTCGAAGTTCCGCCGCTCTCCTCTCCCACGGCTGCTTCCTCACCCTGATGAACGTGCCCTTGCTAGGCGCCGCCTGCCTCACGCCGGCAACCGCCGGCACAGAGGCCTCGTCATCCACGGCGCGCCAGGGCAGGCGCGATCGGAGCCGTGGGTGAGGAGAGGTCTCGTGTGGGTTTGGGATCTGGGAATCCGTGGAGTCGCGGTTGTGGGAAGGCGGAGGAGGGAGGAGTTGCGGCGCTGGGGAAGGAGGGGCGCGAGATCGAGCCGGCAGCAGCTAGGGAGGCTGCCCGAGCGTTATCTTTTCGGAAGAAAATAAAAAATGGACGCGGGGGCGTGGGACAGGCAGGGAATCGAACCCTGGATGCGTTGCGCGGTGTCTGCGTTTGAAGCCCGCGTGCGTGGGATGAAGGGCACGGGGGTGATAAGCGTAGCGTCACACATCCGACGTCAGTCGTCGGAGAAGTTTGGGTGTTTTATTAGCCCTTGATTTCAAAGAAGACGAATTGTTGTGTGCATTTTTCTGGGTGCACAATGGTTGGATGCTCTCAGCGGGGGACTTTTTCCTGGAGGACTAGTACAATTTTGATTGATCCATTATAGTAGAGATAAAAAATCTGTTCAATAAAAATTATGATTTGAATCGTAATTTTGTTAAACGTGAACCATTTAATTTTATAGACGCAATTTCTTGAACGTGCACATGGAGAACGCAATCAAATCAATGCGGTTATTGCTTCCTTCTTTAAAGTACCTGCCATCACATCTTGTCTTGGGCAATGCATGCAACGTCATAAAATAAATTGCGTCTATAAAATTAAATGGTTCACGTTTAACATAATTATGGTTCAAATCATAATTTTTATTGAACAGATTTTTTAAATAGCAGCGCCAAATTTACTGCACACGAGTGTGTCCGGAATTATTTATCAAAGCAAATGATAATAGTAGTAATAAAAAAACATAATTCGGAGAACGGACACCTCGACAAATAGCAGCGCCAAATTTACTGCGCACAAGCTATCTGTAATTATTTATTAGAGCAAATGACAATAGTAGTAATAAAAATCATCATTTGGAGATCGAACACCTCGGTAAATAGCAGCGCCAAATTTACTGTACACGAGCCTATCTGGAATTATTTATCGAAGCAAATAATAATAGTAGTAAAAAGTCTGACATGCCGGTGATTGTTAGTAATAAAAAAAAGTCTGACCGAAGATCGGACATGCGGGTGACTGTTACAGCAAAATTTACTACGCACATGTCCGGACAGAATTATTTATATGAACAAATGATACTACAAATGATTACTGCTCACTGAGTCTGGCGGAATTATTTATAGGCCCAAACGATAATATTAGTAATAAAAAATAGCATGACCGGATACTATTACTAATAAAAAGATACTGTGCCTGGGACCAAACGCGGCAAATATCATATGCCAGTTTACTGCACACGGGTCTCGACGGAATTATTTAGAGACTCAAATAATACTATTAGTAATAAATATACTTCATCCTGATACCGGGCGTCTTCGTAACTATCATAGGCACTTTTACTACCATGGGTCTGGATGGAATTATTTATAGACCAAAAGGGTACTATTAGTAATAAAAATTATCCTACACGGTGACCGGACGCCTCGCTGACTATCACAGTCAATTTTACCGCACAAGGCCCGGCTGAATTATTTCTATACCACTATTAGTAATAAAAAATAACCAACGCGGAGAGCGGACACGCCTGGATCGGCAGAATACATTTTTTTTCCATATTTTGCTCGCGTCCATAAAAATTAGTTCCATAATTTCACGTGTTGTCAGACCCTAAATGGCAAAATGCATGCATGCAACAAACGAGAAAGTAAAAGCGCTGCCCTTTATTGCACCTCATAGATCAACGGAAAAAAATCACAGGCTATTTACGTTAGTTATGTATGTACTCCCTCCATCCCAAATTGTAAGTCATTCTAAGAATCTTGGAGAGTCAAATTTTTTTAAGTTTGACTAAAATGATAGAGAGAAACACAAAGATTGATGACATCAAATAGGTATAATATGAAAATATAACTAATGAAGAATCTAATGATACTTACTTAGTATGATAAATATTATTATTTTGTTATATAAATTTGGTCAAACTTAAAAAACTTTGACTCTCCAAAATTCTTGGAATGACTTACAATTTGGGATGGAGGGAGTACATGAATTAAAAAGGCTACTTTAATTACTAGCGGCTGTCAATTTCAAAGCTCACCGGCGGCCTGGTATCCACGGCGGGTGCGCTAAACAGTATTCAAAGGCCAGGCTGCTAAATAGTAGGGTCATATATATATATATATATATATATATATATATATATATATCAAAAATGATATATACATTTATTTTAGGACAAAGAAAGTACATATCTATTCTCAGTTATGTATGATTGTAATCCGATCAACCAACTAGTAAGAATAAGTTATCACAAAAAAGCTAGTAGAGAATATAGAGGCTAGGAGACAACTTTTCTTTTTGAACAAAACGGAGATGACGACAACTTGGTAGATCAGATAAGATTGTTGTAACAAGAATCTCCTAGCCATCATATACTGCCATACTGGTGTGACTGCGCCACGGCCATGCTATGTAAAGGGCCACGCAAGAGGCTGTTTCGTGCCAGGCACATCCCTACCAAGGATAGCTAGGGAGCTGGTGTTCCTCCGTCTTCCATTCCTCTGTTTTCCTTTCATTCATTCATGGTAATTAGTAGAGAATTTATTATGGCAAGTTCATCTGCCATAAACTAAATAACTCATGGATAGATTACAATCTTAACGGCCGGCAGCGTGAACAGGTGTCTGGCAATCCTCGACAGGATCTCATGCTTCCATATCTACAGGAAGAGCAGCACTGAAAACTATGTTCTTCGCCTTCAGTGCCTGGAGAGTGGAGACCCAACAGTAACAACATTCAGAACACAAGAGGATAAAATAACATCACGTATGGAAACTCAATAACTCGTGCTTACTTCCTTGTTCCAGTTGGTGCATAAGGTAATGGAGAGCAGCGAGAGCATCTGCACCACCAGGCCGCACAAGATCCCAAACCAGAGACCCTGTTCAGAGTTGGAACAAGAACTTGTTCAGCTGAAGGATGAAATATAGTGAAAGCCAGCTTATTCCCAATCAAACTTGCAAAGAAAGCAGAAGAGTACCATCCCCCCGAGACGGCGGACGAAGGCGAAAACAAACGCGGCAGGGATACCAGCGAGGTAATAGGCAGCAAGGTTGATGAAAGCGCCGGTCTTTTGGCGGCCACAGCCCCTGACAACACCTGCCGCAGCCGGCAGGTCCAGCAATTCAGAATGTGCACCGAGTTGATTGTTCATACAGTGTTGTTCAGTACGTACTACCTGAAAGCACACACTGCTGACCGTCGAGCATGACGGACACGGCGAGGACTGGCATCATCCTGGCGGTGTACCTGGTCACTTCCTCCTCGTTGCTGTACGCGTACCCCCACAGATCGCGTACCAGCACTATGACCAGCCCTTCCGACATGCCCACAATGAGCGCCAGGAGCACCACCACCCGGGCCGCCAGTCGCGCCGCCTGAGGCCGCCCTGCTCCAAGCTCGTTCGACACGCGCGTGCTGCATGCCAAACAACATCATCCAGACAGAGGATAATCATTTTTTTTTGGTGACTGACAGAGGATAATCATCAGATTCAGAAAGAATTATCTGCTTGTTTGGTGTTTGGTGTCGACCTTATGGCAGCACCAAGTCCAAGCGGGGCCATGAACGCCAACGAGCTAGTGTTCAAGCTGCAAATCACAGAAACGGGCATGAGATTGGGCACAACACAAACAGCAAGGTAAAGGCTGCAGGCAAGTGTAGAATGATCTTCATCTTCACCAGATGGACAGCACGGCCGTCTCCAGCTTGGGGTTAGGGAGCAGTCCGGACAGCAGCACCAGGAGCTCGAAGGACCACCACTCCATGCTGCACCCAGATCAGAGATCACTACTCGCGCGTCTGAGCTAGGAACGGCGGCACTGATGATCTGTCGATTGCAATTGCATGGACAAATTGGAAGAGCATGCAATAATGCATTACCACACCATGACAGCCGACGGCACGGCGAGCTTGAGGAAATCGGGGACGCCGCGGAACGCCTCGGCCGAGAAGCCCGTCCAGGTGGTCTTGCAGGCCGGCGACGCCCTGACATAGACGGCCAAGAAGGAGAGGTTGGCGAGGTAGGAGACGGCGTTGGCGAGCGCGGCGCCGTTGCGGCCCAGACCGATCCTGCGCACCAGCAGCCAGCAGACGGCCGGGTGGCACAGCGCGGTGGCGCCGGAGCTCAGCATCACGGGCACCACCAGGTTCTGCGTCTGCAGGAACCGGACGTGGCACTGCAGCGCCCCGTACGCGAACAGCGCCGGGGTCAGCCACCGGATGTAGCTGCCGGCGCCCGCGGCGATCTCCGGGTCCTGCCCGCACCACGTCAGGATCTGGCCCGTGTAGGCCCACACCACCGCCACGGGGACGCTTACGAGAGCAAGCACCACCATGGCTCGCTGCTTGTAGACGCCCAGCTGGTGGTGCTGCCGCGCGCCGAAGGCCTGCCCGCACAGCGTGTCCAGGCTGCACGCCATGCCTGCCTGACAAATGTATCTGCATTCAGTAGCACACTAGCTAGCTGGGGAACAAGGAGAGTACTAGCTAAGCTAGCACATTTGGGCGGCGCGCGGCCGGCGTGCGGTTAATTACCAGCAAGCTGAAGCCGGTGACTCCGGCGAAGGAGGTGGCCAGGGAGGCGCTTGCCAGCGCGAGCTCGCCGAGGTGGCCGACGAACATGACGGAGACCATCTGGACCATGTTCTGCAGGAGGAACCCGACGACGAGCGGCCCGGCGAGGTACAGCTGCTTCTTGACCTCGCACGCCACAGCTCCCTCCTCACTGCCACCATGCTTGGCAGTGCCTGTGGCATCGAGGAGCGCCGCCTCCATTCCTGACCTCGTGCTGCTTCACTGAGCGAGAAGCTAGGCAGGAATGGAGCAAAGATGTCCTTGAACCTGGAGCTAGCCTGATCTCACTAACTCATCTGCTTCTGACATGATTGAGCAAAACCTATTTTATACTATGCATGCTGACTGCTGACTGGTGATGGTGATGGTGGGAAAGAGAATTTTGGCTGATGCAGCAATCGCGCCAAGATAAACGACAAATATAATAGACTTGTCAGCAAGGTTCAAACATTATCATTATCTTTGTCAGTGGCTCAGGATAATAAACTGAATGAATATGATAATGTGTCATGGTTGTAAAGCGTAAGCCTGAAAAGTGAAAACAAACATTATGATATATATTCCTGTGTAGTTAAATTGGATTTGATTGCACATACCACCGCCTTATATATTTAATAATAATATTGAAGTATCGTACGTTTCAACGGTCCTTCGTACTCTTTTATTTAAGACATGGTATTAAGTCTAATCCTAAGGTAAGTTAGAATAGAGTGTCTCTATCTCTATGGTTCATTACTCTCTTCCGTGTCTTTACAAGTTAGAGCAGCGTATCCAGACACAATTCAAAGTCCAATTTTCAAAACAAATTAAAATGCATAACGCAATAATTGGATAAGTCTACAAACCTCTCGTGCCTGTAAGTTAGATTAGCGTGTGTTTCAGCACGATACAGATTTTGATCGCAAGACATATTAGAATGCATATAACGGTTGAATAAATCTTGAAGCCACAAGTCGTCCAAGTAATCATATAACAATTTGTATGTTCTACTATCACGTATGGACGTATTTGTTGGTGATGTCAAAATTTAGAGCACATGTTGCACGTGGATTGCTACCTAGGGTTGGTACCCGGCCTTGAGAAGCTGCCCACGCTACCTAGTGTTGACTGTCACAGTGTCACTCCGCCAGTGGCGTTCACGTAAGGACATTATTGACCGCAACTCTGCCAATAACAATGTGGCAAGGCAGCTCTAACAGCGAATTATGAGCTAACTCTAAGTATTTTTATTTCATATTACAATAGAAGAGAGAGAAAAGCTATCTCTTGATGAAAAGATAGTCTCATAGGCATATTTCAAGATCATGTGAGGTTGTCATGTGGGTCTAATCATATCATGAGCTATTACTAAAAGTCAACACCATTGGAGAGGTTATCTTAGAGTAACTAACTAGCCATACTATTAAGGGTGCCCTAAGGGCCACCGTCCACAGTACCTATCAGAGCCACCTTGACTTGGGGGCCCACTTAGGCCGACTCATCTAAATTATTTCATTGATTCATTGTAATTAAGTTTTGAGTTGGACATTTATGGCTTTTCTTTTTAATGTTATAGTAATTAGTCTGAATCTGTTGATCTCAACTGATGAAGCTAGACTCGTTCCTTTATCCAAAAAAGAAGTTGTAGCCTTGACTTGTCTTGTTCAAACATTTGACATCAAATCCCAATGAATGTGATGTTTAGAAGTTATTTTTAGATAGACAAATATTTATATTAGAAATAGCAGCCAAATTACATAGAGATCCTCGAAAGACGGTCAAACCATGTCAATGTCTCTAAGGGGAAACACACACGCAAGAATCAATATATCGCATGTGAAACACCGTAGAAGCACATGAGTATAGGTGCCGAAAAGATTGAATAGAAACTACAGAGCATCTAAGTGGGTGCCTGGTAAGGAGCGGTCGAATCCGATGAGAGGGTGCCATAGCCGAGATGACGACAAATGGAGCTTAGTGGAGACACACGTATTACTGAGACCTTTGTTGCCACCTACTTGAGGACGATTGAGCTGGTGGCGGAGGCAACACGAGCGGCGCCAGAGGCGAAGGTAGTAGCTAGACATGGCGACGACTCCAAGGGAAGATCGCCATGCGGTTAAAACAAGCTAAAAAGCCAACTCAAACTTATAACTAATAGCAAATCTCGAAGCAAAGGATCTCATAATTATCGGATTTGGTTGAAACTATTTTTTTACATTATTTGGAGCAATTGGGGCATGGATATTCTTTTCTCCCAGTAGCAGAAGTTGTGGACTAGGATAATATATGGTCCTGTTTGTTTGGGTTTGAGCTTTTGGCTTTGGAGTTTTTGGCTTTGGCTTTCTAGAAGCTGACTTCCTGGAAGCTAGTAGCTTGTGCAAAAGCTCAGGTTATTGGGCAGCTTAGCTTCTTCCTTCACATCCAACTTTCATAGGTTCCCGAGAAGGAGGGGAGGCGGCGTCAGCCGTTAGGCCATGGTGGGAGGGTTGCACGGCGGCTGCGGGACACGGCTGGCACATGCTAGTGCTAGGTCCAGCCAGGGTGAGCACTAGAAAAAAGAAACAATGGCGTCTTCTTCATGAGCATGAACTTGTGCAGCTCCTCCGAAGCAGGGGCGGATCGGAGGCGGCTTCTGCCGAACAAAGGACCCAGGGCCGGTCCAGTCAATTTAGGGGCCTAGAGCAAAGCTAGAAAAATAGGCCCGTTAATACAACTTAATATAAGTGTAACGCAAACAAAAAATCATTCTTATCAAACAAGTTATATATTTTATCTTAAAAAAATTCTAACATTTACTGATAAGGAGTTCACTGTAAATTTATAAATTAATAAGTAAACCTAAAACCATCTTACCCACCTTAGATCTCCTCCCTTGCATATGATTAAGCGTTAACTGTGGGCCTGAAACGTTTCCTGACATCCCCACCTATGAAACTCGTGTTCCTTGAAGGTACCAGCACCTACCGCAAAAAAAAAAAAAATCACCGGTAAACTTGCTTACCCGCCCGCACGTACCCGCGTAGTCGCGACACCGCAAACCGCCGCGCTTCTCGCTCCATGCCCGCGCCTCTGAGATTTTTCTACCCGCACGCTTGTACCCACAGTACGCGTCGTCCACGAAGCCGTCGCGCTGTTTTTTTTTTTTTTCATCGCGCAACTTCTGTAACCGCCGGCTCCCACCGCGATCTCAACCCTCTCCCCCACGCCTGTTCAGGAAACCGCAATCTCCCCGCGCCGCTCCCGCTCTAGCACCCGCCCCTGCACCTCCCCATCTGCGGAGGCGGCGTCCGGACACCGTTTCCCCGCCCCGCTCCGGTCCCGTCAGGACGCTACCGCGCAACACGACGCCGTGAAGCCGTCCGGTCGCCGCCGCAGTGCCGTCCGGTGGCCGCCGCTGCGCCGTCCGGTGGCCGCCGCCACCCCGCCCCTACCCCGCCGAGAGACGGCGAGGCCGATGCCTCATCCGGAGTCTGGTCCCATCACGACGCCGCTGATGACGAGATGATGGATATCTGCAAGGAGAGCCACCAGAAAATATGCCACGATGGGTTCCTTGCCTCCATCGCCGACGCTGTGTCACCATTCGCCAATGGGCCACTCCTCGTTTCTCCAGCAGAAGGTGCGGCGGCCCTCCCTTGCTCTTTCCCTCAAGATATGATCTGCCGGTTCGTTAGGGCTTGGGTGTCGAGGTGGTCTCGATCTGACATGTTCAGATCTGATTTTCTCCTTGTCTGCGCGTGTAGTTTGAAGGTTTGCCAGCAATGGTGTAGGTGCTTTCTCCACAAAACTATTGAACCATCCTTTCATCAATATTCCAATGCAAATGCATGAGTGAGATAGCCATGCGTATACTAACATCTTTTGTTTTCCTCCTGTTTTTGTTTTTAGATTTTGTCACCGACACCTCAGGATAAGCACTGCAGTGCTCTAACTGGTATTGATTTGCAGCGCTCCCATTTTTGGTAGATCTCTGATTGATCGATGCTCATTTTATTTTGAGTAGAGTTTAGGTTCATAACTTCATACAAATTGTGACTTATCAAAATTTCTAAGCATTCTCTCTGACCTCAATTTAGGTTCAGTAGTATAGAAACTACATCAGTTTCATCAGGCTTTCAAAATAACCTGTTCATCCCAACTCACTGATGTAATTTCAACAGGTTCAGATTTTATATGGACTGATGTAGTTCATCAATTATTTTTGTTCTTCAATGCAACATAACTGCATCCATCGCAATTGTCAACTCACTGATGTAATTTCAACAGTTTCAGATTTTATATGGACTGACGTAGCTCATCGATTATTTTTGTTCTTCAATGCAACATAACTGCATCCATCGCAATTGTCTGGATCTCGAATAACTGGTGAAGTGCATGAATACTCTTCCTGGGGCCTGCGGCAAACAAAATCTAATAATCTTCTGTGTGCAGTCTTGTGCATACCCTTATCTTGTTTCTTTCAACTTTTAATTATAATATCTACACACGCAGAATGTGAATCTAGCATGAGTAGAAGCAGCCAATTCAACTCTGAATTTCCATATAGAAATCTGGTGCAGTAGAGTAGCACCTCCAACCTCAGTTTCATCATTCTGTCTAATGTTTCATATTCCCAGTTATCATTGCACATTGTACTCTTTATATAAAATAGCCTAGCAACACAAAGAAATATTGAAAATCACCAGTCTTGTGGGAAGGAAGGGCATGACCACGTCATCACAGCACACTGAACATCAACATATTGGTAGATTCAATTTGTTTATGTTTGTTTTTGAGGTCGGTGGTATGTATAGCAGATAGCACGAACCCACTCCCAACTGGTGTTAACATTACAAGTGTATATAGATTATGATGATAAGTGTATATAGTCAATTATTTATTATAATTTTTCTCCATTTATATATATTGAATTTATTTTTGTATGAAGGAACTGTTATCATTGTGCATGGTTGAATAGCCACCAAAATAGAGTTTGTCATCTCACTACAGCCCACTTGAGTAGTAGATATGTTTTGTGAGCACATTAGAGAATAAATTGATTTTTTTTTGCATGCAGGTTGAGTGCTATAGGATTTGTTAATATCATTATTTTAATCTGAAATTGTCTTTTAAAAATATTTATTGGTATATATCCCTACATTACAAATGATCTTTTTTTTTCAATAAACATGCGCGCGCAGCACATGCATATTTACTAGAAAAATTATTTCAGTATTCTC